TCTGTCGGTACCTGGGCGTTGCAGAACCACTTTTGGCAGTTGGGGACGTTGCACTTGACGACGCAGTGCGTGTCGTGTATCCCACAGTAGGCACACTCGTGTTCGACCGAAGTCGACGCGGAAGCGGCCGTCATTTGCTAAAATAAATATGGCTCAGTTGTTCGTGCCCCTGAAGAACTTGGCGGCTGCGGGCCGACGAGCCGTGCATCACCGGCGTGGCTCGCCCTTGGCATCGCCGGCTTCCCGCCGTCACCTGAACCTCTCACCGGCTGGCGGACCGCGCGCGGTGGGGCTTTACGCACAGCCAGTCAAGCGGGCGAAAAACGTACGTTGGCAAGAAGGTGTACCCGTCCGCGTGAAGCCGACCACTAGCAACCTGCGCCCTCTCGAACGCCTCAGCAAACGTCAACTCCGCGAAGGCGACGGCGGTGACCCTGTGACATCTGCCCTCCTTCAGTGGGACCATCAGTGGCGCCTCTACCTCGCCAAGTACTACACCGAAGATATGGTCCTACTCACCCATTGCACTCCCGACCACCCCACCAGTCTCACCAGCTCAAACGGCAGTCTCGCCAGCAACGCCAGCCAGACCGGGAACCAGCCCTCCCAGGCCGGGGGCCTGGCCGGTTCCACTAGCAGTTTCACCACCCCCGCCGGCGCCGGCGTCGTGGTGAATAAGCACTACACGTACTCCAGCGCCGCTTCGTACTCTAGCACTGCCTCGTACTCTGCCAGCCGCAGCGAGGGCGACCTCGTTGTGCTCAACTCCGAGATTGAAGGCATCCGCCGGCTCCTCGACCTGTATAGTCAAGAGGCCAACGGCTGTTTGACGCTGGAGCCTGAAGAGGAATCAGGCGGGGCCACACCCTCAGGACTCTCGACTAGCGAAACCAACGTGTGGAGACTCGCCCGGCGCGAACGCGTGCATCAAAACGTACTCCGTACACTCGTAGACCTCATGCTGGGCTGGACCGCCGTCGAGCGCTGGAGGTGGAATCATACCGATCACAAAGCCCTCACCGTCAAACTCAACAACGGAATCGTGCTCGAACTACCCGGGGTCCCCGTCTCGCTGAGCAACCAGGAAGCCATCAACCAAAAACAAGAACTTTTCCTGGACTTCGTTGACCGTATTGAGGCCTTCCAGAGGAAATACAAGTCGGTCGGCGACGGAGTCAAAAGACTCAGGAAGAAGGTCATTAGGTAACCCTCCCCCGCCCCGTGTCTGGCCCATTCCTTGTCTGGCCCATTCCCTGTCTGGCCCATTCCCTGTCTGGCGCACTTCATGTCCCGCGTGGTGGCTCGCATGTGTCTGTTGTTAGGGGATGGAAGACCAGCGGAAATGTGTCATTGGTGACCTATGACGGAGATGCTACTCCGCATCCTAATCTCCTCAAAGAAACATGCGTAATTTAGAGGTCTCCGTTTAGAAGACACCGTCGTTCGGGGTGAGTCGCTCCCCATACGTCTCAATGTATCGACGTACTTTAGTTAGTCCCATTCATGCTTAGTCCCTCCTTTTGCTGTGTGAAAGAACACCTCTCACCCCGCGACGAATGATCCCAGAATCGTTGAAGGAGACGCTGTGTGCGCAGCTGGGGTTCGGAACACTTTCGTTGAGAAAATAATATTTTTTGATGGAGCGCCAGATCAGCAGCAGCGAGTCCCTGAGCCGCACCCGCACTTGGAGTGCGGACATGCAGAAGTTCTGGAACCTACCTGTCCCTGATGTCGAGACTCTCGAGCAGCGGGTTGCCGTAAGCCACTAAGTCACCCTAGATATAACCCATTTCGACAGAAGTCGTATTGGGCCGCCACTTAGACACACGCGCGTGTGCACACACTTTGGGGGCACACACTTTGGGGGCATGGTGAGATGCGATGTGATTACAGCGTTATACAGAGTATTTTTCAATGAAGGACGAGCAGGTGGAGCACGTGTGCAAGTCGATTTTTGCGGACGTGACAGCCTGTGCAGCGGCGCACGCGACGTGCCCGGTGGGCTCGCCTTTGAGGATGCTGGACACGGGTTGCAAGGAGTTGCCGACGGGTACGGAGAAGGGTATAGTGTACGCGGTGGAGTTTAACTGTTCACACGTGCGTGCTAGTCGTTGTCGTTTAGACGGGAACCGTCGTGTGTCAACCACGGAGCATCGCGTGACATTGTCTGAAGAATGTAAGGACTTGTCGAAGGGGCTGTTGGATAGCGAGTGCGGGGCAATGATGTTGTTCGACACGTTGGCAGAGGCGGTGAAGGTCTTGATGGAGTCGTCTGGCGACTTGGGACATAAGCACACGATCCCGGTGGCGTTTGTGGTGCCATTCGCGTGTGAGCAGAGTGGCCCCAAGTCGGCGCGTCTGCTGAACTGGACCAAGGGTTTCGAGACGGGACGTAAGACCAACGACCCGGTAGAGGGTCTGGACATGGCGACGTTGTTGGACATGGCCTTTTGGCGAAAGGAGATGAACGCCAGGTGCGTTACAGTCTTGAACGACGGCACGGCAACGATGCTGGCTGCGGAGTACGAGCGACAGTCGCGTCTGCCGCCGTGTGTGGTCTCCTACTTGGTTTCAGTGGGCGTGAACGGCTGCTTCATCGACCCGATGCACGAAGCACACAAATATGCCGGGTGCATCGTGAACACGGAACTAGGAGACTACGACCGTTCTCTGCCGATGACGGACGTGGATCTGGAGGTGGATTTCGCGGACCAAGGTGGTCACGGTCAGCAGATGTTCGAGAAGATGGTCGGCGGTGGTTACCTGGGTGAGGTTTGTCGGAGATTGGTCGTGAAAGTTTACCAATCTGACGCACCTACCCTCGCTTGGGCTAGACAGTCCTTCCCTACCGCTGCCGCCGCCATGGTCGTGGCAGACGACTCTGCCGATCTCAGCCGCGCACGCAGCCTAGTACAGGGCCTCTGGGACTGGACACCTAGCCAACAGGACCTCCTCATTGTCAAAGACCTCTTTACTCTCGTCTTCGACCGCTCAGCCGCACTCAGCGCTGCTGCCATTGGGGCCCTCGCCCGCGCCACATCCAGACTACAACCCGCCATGGGAGGGGTGACTGTCGCTCTGGAAGGCTCCCTCCACGGACCCCATCCCTGGTATACCGAACTCATCCGCCAAAGACTTAATGTTCTCCTCAAAGGAAACGCTGGCTTCGTACACCTGTACGTCACCCACGATTCCAACGCCAAGGGCGCTGCCGTCCTGGCTGCTATGCTGGACAAGTCCCTCGCCTAAACACACAATAGATGCCGTCGGCCCTTGTCTAGCCGTCGAACCTTGTCTTGCCGTCGATCCTTATCCTACCATCAATTCTTGTCTTCCCATCAATTCTTGTCTTCCCATCAATTCTTGTCCTACAATCGATTCTTGTCTAGCGACTCTAACCACCGAGTTTCGCTTGACAACGGAAGTCTGCGACAACACCACCAGTCCACGACCACGCTGGACGGTCGTATTTTTTTATCGACATTTTTATGAGTTACAAAGATGCACAAAGCATTATAGACGCTCTGAACAGTCAGCACCGAACACCGAACTGATGCACTGAACGACTAACTGATCTTAGGGGTAAAGACCGTGGCTGAGTTGCGGGATGTTGCGGATGACTTCAGATCAAGCAGCCTACCCTTTCACTACAAGGCGAAAATCCTTAAGTTGCTAAAAGAAAGGGAGACCACTCTGCTAGAGGCAACTTATTCTCAAACTAGCTATCCGGAACTGACCAGCGGCCCGGGCCGGCCCGGGCCTAGGAAGCGGCCCGGATGTGAGAAGGGACGTGGAGCTGAGCAGTCAAAAGATTGCAGACTTGCTTACGAAGGAGGCTGAGTCAAAGGAAGCTGGACCATCCTTTGTCGAAGACCCGGTCCCCAAGGTGCCAGACTCCCGAACAAAGGAGTCCGATAAAAGTGTTACATTTGTGCATGAAGAAGTGGAACTGTCGGATGTCCCTCGGGACCTGGTGTGTCTAAACAGCAGGAATTCTACCGTAGTGGTTTTGGGAAATGTTGAAACGCTGAGATTGGCCGACTGTTCGGATTGCACCTTTGTAGCTCCTTGTGTCAGACGTTCTGTGGTGCTTGAGCGCTGCGACCGAATGAAGTTGTACATCGTTTGCCAACAACTGCGAGTGCACAAGTCGAACAACTGTTTGATACGCGGGTACGTGGCGGTTGCTCCCTTGTTCGAAATGGTCACTCACATCCAGCTGGGCAGCTGGAAGACGGGACCCTCCCTCAATCTCGGAAGAAGCGTCGAGGTAAAAGGCCTCGCTGAGAGCACAGAGGGCCTAACGATAGATCCCTATAAACCATCCGCGATCAATTCGGATGACCCCGGAGATATGCTAGAATTCGAAATACTCGACGACCCAGACCCGCAGTCCGCAACAGTGACGATATTGTCTGATTAAATCCCCACATTTTTTTTGCTACTAAAAATTTTCAGTTCTGCTAACATGGCGTAAGTTTGACACCAAGCCCGTACGTTTAGCTGGCTTGGCTCGGCTATGCTTGGCTTGGCTTGGCTTGGCTTGGCTGGCTCGGCATGGCTGGCTCGGCATGGCTGGCCCGATGTCCAGGCCTGTGCACAAGCCTGGACGGCGCGTTTCAAGCCGGTGGTACAACTATTTATGCGCCCCAAACTATTCCCGTTGTATAGTGACGCCCTCTGTATTGTAGTAAGCAACCTCAGCTTCTGTGGGCTCAGAGAAAAGGTCTTTTGTTCGTCACTGTGGAAGTGTACGATGCGGAGGACGTCTCAGTCGATTTCTCTGAACAGGGCTTCACGGTGAAGTGCAAGAAGGACGGAGTAGACTACGAGACGACTGCGGCGTTATACTCCAAGGTGAAGCCTGAGGAGTGCCGCTGGGCAAATCTTCGTGGCATCCAACTGCACATGACGAAGGATGAGGTGGCCCGCTGGCCGACCCTGACCAAGGCGAAGATGAGCAACCTCAAGCTGGACTGGGGCAAGTGGTTGGACACCGATGACGAGGAGGAGCAGGAGCGCGGCGGAAACCCTTCCGACTTCGACATGTCTGCCTTTGGCGGCATGGGCGGCATGGGCGGCATGGGCGGCATGGGCGGCATGGGCGGCCTCGGG